ATCAAATTGTGTACTCAAAACAAACCACTCTAAGTGACAATAGTAGCTAACAGTAGTAATAAAGAGAAAAAGCATTTCTTTCATTCTAAAGTTCTCTAATTGTCTGACTGTGAAAAGCTGCTACAAGGAAGTGCCAATTCATAAACTACAACTCTGATCATTTAAGTGCTAGGTTAGTAACTTGAAAGAATCATAAATCAGAAAAGACATCTAAGAAGCACAGAAAATAATTTATGCTTTAAAAAAAATATCCTAATCTCTCCTTGAAAAGATCTCATTTATTTTTTAAGGAATCTAGATTTGTATTAAGACGAGTGTTTCATTTGAAACTGGTCTTCTTCTGCCACCAAGTGTTAGCAATCAGTTTCTGCAACGTTTAAATCACAGAAAGACAAGGTCACTCAATGAGAAAAATAAGCCTCAAAGAATGCACTACAAAAAGGATGGGGCTGAACAAGGAGTAGACTAACCATGTGAGAAATATATATATATTTTTTTTTCCTAAGGACACTAGACAAATTACTGTTACTATGTCAGAGGCAATGTAATTTAATGATTGTTGAGACTTCATTAATTTGATGGGAGAAAAAACAAACCTGTAACTTTGAAAGCACAGTGATGGTCAAAGTAGCTTTAAAATACACAACTTTCAATACTCTCTTATGTGATATACCCCCTAACATTTTATGAATAAGCAAAACCAACACCTTAAGTAAATGCCTCCTGGTGTTAGAAAAATACATAATTGCCAAGCAAAGTCTTATGTTTCCCAGAATCCAGGTTAGAACTCAATGCTCTAGCTTGGGAACCAGAATACCACGTCTAACAGTGGGAGCTCCTTATCAGGAGACCTAAAGTAGAGTGTCTATATTTTCAAAGTTCTGAACACAATCTATAGCACTTTTGATTAGCCCGCTGGGCTTTTGATTACTTCTACTGAATGGTCTGATGACAGGTGCCTACAAGTGGACGGTACCCCAGAAGCCCAGGGACTTCTGCAGCCAACACTGACCACCACCGGGAGATTCTCACACTAACCTTTAGGGCCAACCCAGAGGTGGTGAACACTCATTCCCTGCACCAGACACCATGCACATCTTTTAAGTCAATGAGATGTTTGACCTTCAGGAACAAACCAATTATGGCTCCAACTTGGACTCCTCTTTGTTATACCAGCATGGATACCGGCTTTTTACGTCATTAAAACACGACACATTAGATGGTGAAAAAAATCAAATGTACTACTACAGAATAATGACACCTCCTGTAGATAATAATGAATGGATCATATATCTTACTATCCCCTCACCTCACACAGTCAAAATCCACATATAACTTTGAAATCCCCAAAACTTTAACTCTATTAGCCTATTTTTGATCAGAAGTTTTATCAATAACGTAAACACTTGATTAACACATATTTTGCATGTTATATGTATAATATACAGTATTTTGACAATAAAGATAAAAAAAATAATTATTAAGAATATCATAAGGAAGAGAAATACACTTACAGTATTTACTGGAAAAAAATCTGTGTATAAATGGATTCGCGTATTACAAAACTGTTTTGCTCAGGGGTCAATGGTATATTTATTTCTGTTTTAAAGGAACTATGTATATGCACCTCTATATATGTGCAGAGTATAGGAAAAGGTCAGGAGGATAGACTAGTAGTGGTAACTTACAGAGAAAAATTATATTGGGAGAAAGGTGATGATAGGGCAGTGATGAGGAAAAAATTGTATCTTCCACTCTATAGGTTTGTTGCATTTGATTGTTTACAGTAAACATATATTCACCTTCCATTCTATAGGTTTGTTGCATTTGATTGTTTACAGTGAACATATATTCACTTTTAAAAATTGAATATTTTTAAAAGCAAAATAATTCATAATGTGAAAAGAGTACTTGAAATGAGACAAACTTCCTAATATTTGAGTGAAAATCAACGTATTTTTTCACACACTTTCTCCTTTTATTTCATTCTAAATCTAAACAACATTGAATACTAGCGATACATTCTACTGCTGACTTTATCAGTGGCCACTCCCTTATAAATGAGAAGACCAGGATAAAATCCCAGAACACCATTAGTGCTGAGAGATGGAAACAGACAGTGGGAAGTGCACAAAAGTTAAGAAGAAAGACCAAACAGTCACATTTTCCAATAATCTGCATTCCAAATGACAGAACATAATAAAAAATCCTCCTTTATGTATGCCATATTTTCATATGGCTTTTCACTTTTACAGTGGAACCAATGATATACTACGTAGAGAAAATGCTTGACATTTATTTAAGACCGCAAGTCCCAGAGTATACAGGAGGTCCTCAAATAATATCATTTTGTAATAATGTCCATGAGATGCCACAGGAATGTAACTCTTTTTAAAAAAATATTTTATTGATATTTTACAGATAGGAAGAGAGAAGGATAGAGAGTTAGAAACATCGATGTGAGAGAAACATCGATCAGCTGCCTCTTGCACACCCCCTACTGGGGATGTGCCCGCAACCAAGGTACATGCCCTTGACCGGAATCGAACCTGGGACCTTTCAGTCCGCAGGCCGACACTCTACCCACTGAGCCAAACCGGTTTCGGCTTAACTCTTGTTTATAAATATCAGGGCAAAATTGATTTCATTACACCTCGTTTCACCATCTTCCAAGAATCTATTGTCGACGTTCAGTGGGGACTTACTGTATTACACTGCAGACCCTCTGGATCAGAATCACCCATGGCACTTACTAAACATCAAAAGATAAATTTTATTTATCTTTATTGTTGAAAGCATTGCAGATGTCCCCTTTCCATCCTTATTGACCCCTTCTAGCCTGCACACACACACAAATAGACACCCCGCCTCAGACCTTCACTATACTATGACCTATGTCCATGGGTTATGCATATATTCAAACAACTTCTTTGACTGATCACTTCCCACACAGTCCATCTAACTCCACATCTGAAATAAGAGGGTGCAAATCTGCAGCTTCACCAGACACACCAGTGACTCATGAATCCCAACATTTAAGACAGTACTTTCTTAAGCATTCAGACACACTGACCATCACCAGAAACAGAATCATTTCATAGATTAGAAGAAAAAATTCTTATTTGGCTTTCTGAAAAAAACCCAGTAAGGTCATACATACTTTATTTTCTAAAGATTAAGCATTCCAACCTAAACATAATCCAACCTGATTTAGAGTTTATATACCACACAAGCAAGGACTGCTTCTGTTTTGATCACAGCTCAGCCCAGCACCCAGCACATAGTAAGCCCTCAATAAAGATCTGTTAAATAAATATGATTTGGACCAGATTTCTCCTCACATATATAAATTAATTGGATAAAATGGTTGTGGCCAGCGGTAAGAAAATGAGACTGAGAATGAGATAAGATGGATGTTCTACACTGGGCTCTGCAACTAAGAAGAATGTGATCTCATTTCTGCCACGTAACTCATCTAAGTCCTACATCTCTTTCTGTAAAGGAAAGGAGCAGATCCTGTGAAATTAACTGCCAAAGAATCATTTCAGTCTGAAATATTGAAATTGAGATTCTAGAGGAGTCTAAATATTCCTCTGATTAATGTACCTGGGTGCTATCATTTCAAAGTTAATATTGTAAAGACAGAAATACTTTGAAATGTGTATTATTACCTTTACCACTGATTTGTCATTCTGTGATTAAGTTTGAAACCACTGGAAACAGGGTAATCCATTTGAAAGCAAAAAAAAAAGGAAAGATAAGTGAAAAAGTAAACTGTCAGTCTACAAGTTGTGTCAGTTGTTATCATTCCAAATTTCAAAATCTATTATTTACACAATTATTTTTACCAAAATATTCTAGAATGGCACCTAATATAGTTAATATTAAATGTGGGGCATAGTTAACAAAAAAAAAAAAAACGCGCAAGATTTCTTTTTGAGAAGAATTTTACAATAGTTTATAGAATACTTAGAATCGACAGGATGGTCAACCACTTAAACACATGTTTTAAAGGACCAAAAAGACTTTCTGAGCACAAAGACAACAAATGCAAAATGTGCCAAATTTAGAAAAAAGATCTACTTACTAATAAACATGCCCTTCATTTATAGAGCTGCAAATCAGTCTTAACTGCAGCAAGGGCCATGGAAAGCAGGAATGAATGCTAATCTGCATGGCCACCTCCACAACTCGGGTCTATCAGAGCAGGTCAGCAGATGTATTTAGGTGCATGAGCAACTCCCTAGGCTGCAATGGGAAAAACAATGAAGGGTGCCCTTCAGATTCCAGGAGAAATGCTCATGAATCCAGAAGAAAGTCAACAATTACCCCAACCTCTGAAGGAGAGGGAGTGGCCTGGGAAGGCAGAAAGTCACCTGGAGACAGGAGAAGTCAAGACACATGTCCCTCGGCTTGTGTCACTGTTGACCATCTTCAGGGAGAAGTACTTTTAAGTACAAGGTTTCCCACAGTTACCCTCTCGCCCCGTCCCAGGAGCATTTGTTCTAAGCCCTTAACGGAGAACACTACTGGAAGAACAAGGTGGGCTTTTGGAAACCTTGAAAGAGCTCCGTAGAGGGTTAAAAAGCTTGTCCCACTTTGAAAAACCCAGTTGCAGAGAGCAGCACCAGTGTATGCAGGTCAGTGGAGGAAGCTTTGATAGCAGCAGACTGAAAACAACCATTAGCAAAGAAAACAGAGAATAAAACCTGGGCACTACCTCAAGGCCTTTGGAGGAATGAAACAGGTGTGGCAATAGACAACGAAGCAATGAGTGTTGGTCACAGTATACAGCCAATAGCCACATGTCAAAGGAGGGAACGCATAGAACAGCCTCTAAAGAGGCTCATGAGCCAACTTAGCATCCTGGGAAGTAGGCCCAGGAGCAATAATAGTAAGTAGGATGTCAAAACCCACCACAAATGTCATTCAAGCTGCTGACCATGCTTAATGCTGGTGTAACTAGTAGAACAAGGTTTGTGATAAAAATGTCCACTCACCATCTTCCGGAGCCATGGTACTTTGGACAATTTCATGAAGGTCAAATGAGGTTTAAAACTTCTGCTTTCTCCTGCCAAGATGCCTTTTTCTTGAAATGTCCTTTTTGCAACCTCTGTAGTAAATAAAAAGATACACAAACATGTTACTACATCACATGGCTTTCTTTATAAAAATAGCAAGTCAAAAAATAACAAAATGTTTTTTTATAATAAAGATTATTTTATATATCTATGATTTTTTAAAATATATTTTTATTGATTTCAGAAAGGAAGAGAGAGGGAGAGAGAGAAAGAGAGAAACATCAATGATGAGAATCATGGATCGGCTGCATGCTTCCTACTGGGGATTGAGCCTGCAACCCAGGTATATGTGCTTGGCCAAAATTAAACCTGGGACCCTTCAGTCTGTAGGCTGACGTTCTTTCCACTGAGGTAAACCAGTGAGGGCTATGATATTTTTTTTTTAAAAGAGAGAGCAGAAATCAGTTTGGCTCAGTGGATAGAGTGTCAGCCTGCGGACTAAAGGGTCCCAGGTTCGATTCTGGTCAGGTCATGTACCTAGGTTGTGGGCATGTCCCCAGTAGGGGGTGTGCAGGAGGCAGCTGATCAATGTTTCTCTCTCATAGATGTTTCTGATTCTCTACCCATCTCCCTTCCTCTCTGTAAAAAATTAATAAAATATATTTAAAAACAGAGAGAAACAATGAACATGATAAACATTTATGACAGTTAAATCTGCAATGATTTCAAACATTGGGTAAAGCACACAAAAGCAACAATTTGAAAGAGAAACGTTTAATAAAATAACTGTTTGACTGATGAGATGCTGACTCACTGATTATACCAGTAGTGACCATAGGTATTCTGACCAAGATGGAATAACAGGAATTAGATTTGTCCTCCCATCTGAACCAAAAAAAAGGACAAAGTATACAAAGCAAAGGTTTACAAGACACTATACCCATCAAGAAATGAAGGCCAGTGGTCCTTGAGAGACGAGAAGCAAACCAGATGAGCCCGGCTGCCCAACTTACATCCTTGAGTGGCTAGGTCTTCGTGCAAGGAGGAGAATAGAGCCCAGTCACCTCATTGGTTCAGGAAAAAGAGCTGAGAATAGGCTCACAGGGCAGAGAACTGGGGAAGTGAGACTGACACAGAGTGAAAACTCCAGAGATCTGCAAAGGGTCCTCCTTGAGTATTTAGCTGAGCATAGATACCAACACATACATGTGAGCAAACTATGTGGAGCATGTCCTAAAACATTCTTCTTTGCAAATCACTGCTACCAAATGATTTTTCTTCTCTCTTCTACTGCAATAAAGAAGGTTAAGCAAGAGACAAGTAAAGGCCAAGAAAAAACTGGTTCTCAGTTGTAGACCATTTTGCTTGAGTTAAGCAACAACAGACTTCATGGAAAATGGAGGGATACAGTAACAGGCTGGAAGACTATGACACCAAGAAGCCCGAAGTACAAAGGAGAACAGGTCCGGCGACACCACATGGTCTTCCTGCTGGCACCACTGAAACCGGGCACAGCAAAGGGCTGGAAATGCTGCCGGGGGCCTCAGACTGATGGTAGCTACGGCTGATGACACAGCCCATCTCGAGAATGGACTCTGCATGGATCTGTTTTGTTCAAGTTACTAGTCTGAGCCAAAGCAAGATCATGTTCCTGAAACCAAAGGAATCTATGAAAAAAATGCACCTGACACAGAGATGCTGGGAAAGAAGTTAGATATTAAACAGCCAAAAAAAGTCAACAGTCCAGGCAAACATGTGTTTTAAAACAATAAGAGTGTACTGATTCATATGCCTTTCAGCATAACGATTATTGCTTGTCTCATTTTTTATTCCTACAAGTATATTTTCAGTAGGACATGATCTCACTCATCTAGGGGGAAATAGTGAACAACATAGACTGATGAACAAGAACAGACCCAGAGATAAGGAGCCATGGGTCAGACTGTTGGACCTCAAAGGGAGGGTGGGGAGAAAAGGGAGAGATCAACCAAGGACTTATGTGCATACATATGAGCCTAACCAGTGGTTGAGCACAATAGGGGGTTGGGGGTGTGAATGGGAGGGGATTGGAATGGGGGGTTGAAGACAAATATGTGACACCTTAATCAATAAAGAAATTTAAAAAAAGAAGACATATGTAATAATTTAAACAATAAAGAATAAAAAATAAAAAAGAGTGTATTAGTATTCAGAACAAGTACTATTATAATTAACTTATCAACTTTCAGCTCATATAAATTACAAGCAGGTATTATCTTTCCTCAATAATTTTGGGATATTCTCAACTGTTTTAAATAGAACTGGAGTCAAAATATTAGGCTGATTCATACAAAACTGTCATTTTTATGAATCAAAAGCAGTCAAACATTGGCAATGTCTGATGGCTTAACATATACCATAGTAAACCAACTTATTAAGTTCCTAACATCTGAGTGAAGGAATTGGGGCACATTTTCCAAGCCTCACGTATTTGAGGAATTATCACATAGTTGAACTTCTGATAGAAATTTACCAATATGTTCATAGCAACCCAGAAAACAGAAATAGCATGAAGATATAAAAGCCAAAATTCTTTTATTCAGTTATGTTCAGAGCACTTCCTATATATGCCAGGCACATTATCTGTTAAAGTCAGCAAGCACCTCTCCCTTTCAGGGAGCTTGTAGTCTCACCAGACAGATTTCAGCCCAATGAAGAGGAGGACTTAGCAATATTCAGAACTGTCAAAACATGCAAGAGCTCTGGCTGATGTTGCTCAGTGATTAGAGGATTCGACCAGAGTCGAAGGTTAGATTCCTGGTGAAGGGCATGTACCTGGGTCGCAGGTTTGATCCCTGGCCCCAGCTGGGGCACATTTGGGAGGCAGCCAATTGATATGTATCATATCGATGTTTCTCTCTTTCTCCCTCAACCTGCCCTCCTATCCATTCCCTAATAAAACCAGTAGAAAAAATATACTCCGGTGAGGATTAACAACAACAAAAACATACAAGAGATATAATGAAAGTAGTTTTTTTTTTAATAGAAAGTAAAATAGTAGGCATCTGTATCATTTATTACTATCTACATTAGATTTACATATTATTTGATTCTAAAGATACAGCATTTTTCAATTTACTGATCAAATGTTGACTCGCGTTATCATTATTGACTGAAATCACAGATGATGGATATCTATTCACAATACTGGGTTAAATAGTATTATCACAAAGCACATTTAATTTGTATTAATATTTTTTTTTCAGTACAGCATATGTTCTAGGTACATAGGAATAGGGAAATAGAAAAAACATATTGGAAAAGTACATCTTAGTATCGATTTTATATTCCTAATAAGAGTATAATCTATTGCTTAGCCAGAGTACTGGGTAATAGTTATGGAAATACTATTCTTGAGATAAGAAGAGTTTTTGCTAATGTGAAAAACCACATGTCATTCTTCATCTATGTTAACATATTCTTTAAGAGAAGCTTATGAATAATTTAAGAGATTATTCAATTCCTTCTAGTACCACAGATATTCCTTCAAGCATTAAATAGAAAATCACAGTGCAAACACATCAGATAGCCTTCACAAGTCAGCTAAGAATACTTCCTAAGTAATACAATTTACCTGATAGCTAAAGATAAAAATTGCCTGAAGAAAATTTCTTAAAATATATTTTTAATAGTAATAGACTTCACTAAATAAATGAACACTTCAATGAATAATTTATAAAGAAACAATGCTCTTGTTATCCTAAGAAACAGTTTCGTTTTATCTGGGTGAGTTTTTTGGTGTGTTTTTTTTTTGTTGTTGTTGTTTGTTTGTTTTTTGTTTTTTGATTTTTGTTTTTTGTTTTGTGTGTGTGTGTGTGTGTGTTTGTGTGTGTGTGTGTGTGTGTGTGTGTGTGTGTGTGTGTGTGGTTTGTGGGTTTTTTTCCCCATCTATTCAGCAAGTATTTATTGAGCATGCCAGATACTGGAAAGTTTTATCTGTTTTTTTTTAAATATATTTTATTGATTTTGTACAGAGAGGAAGGGAGAGAGAGAGAGAGCATTAGAAACATCAATGAGAGTCATTGATTAGCTGCCTCTTGCACACCCCCTATTGGGGATATGCCCACAACCAAGGTACATGCCCTTGACCGGAATTGAACCCAGGTCCCTTCAGTACCCAAGCCGAGGCTCTAGCCATTGAGCCAAACCGGTTTCGGCTTTTATCTGTTTTTTAAGATAGATAGATAGATAGATAGATAGATGATAGGAAATTTATTCAGGTAAACTTTTAAATATGTAGCAAGTATAAATTTTTTCCTAACATGCAAATACATTGCTAGATTTGTCTCAAAGTAAACTATATCAATTTTTAATACAATAATGTATTTTTAATTAAATACACTTTCTTTTTCCCTTTTGTAATTATCTCCCCTTTATAAAAATTTTGAGGGTGTTTATATGCTAGCATGATTAATAATTTGAGAATAATCACAAAGAGCTTTATTTTTATTGAGGTACACAAAGAGATTTATTGATAAGAATAGTCTATAATACTATGCAAATCGGGTGGCCCTAATTCTTTTTTTCTTTAGTTTTTAATTTTCTTAGAGAGGAAGGAAGAGAAAGAGAGAGAGAGGAAGAGAAAGAGGGAGAGAGGAAGAGAAAGGGAAAGGGAGAGAGTGAGAGAGAGAGAGAGAAACATCAATGTGAGAGAAATACATTGATTGGTTGCATCCCGCACATACCCCAACAGGGCTGGAACCCATGACCTTCCCATGCATGGGATGCTGCTCCAACCAACTGAGCCACACTGGCCAGGAGGGTCCTAATATATTCTTAACTATCTATACTGTGTGTCAGTACATGGATGCAACAGAAGTAATATGTTAGATTTTAGTTTTAAAAAGACTGATTTGTGATTAAACAATACACCATACTTTCTAATATCATTGTAAGATACAGTAAAATTATGTCACATATGGTATTTAAAATCTTAATAAAATTTTAGAATCACTTTTCAGCCATCTAAAATTTTAAAGAAATAAAAACCATACAACTGTTCTTTTATTACTATATTATTACTATTTAAAGGAGTCCTATTTCCATATGCTGCTTAAACTGTTTCATTTTAGATCGTTTTAGTGACTCATTTGAAGTACATGCTTCAACATAAAGGCTGACATAATGTTGAAACCAACTTCCATTTAAATATTTTATATTCACCATTTTAAATAGATATGTCCAATTGACTGCTGTGTGAAAATGTCAAAGAGAACTTTAAAACATTACAATGGAATAAAGGGGTGCCAGACTACCAAATGGGGAAAGTTAGTCTTTTTTAAAAAAATGTGTTGGGAAAACTGGATATTTACATGCAAAATAATGAAATTATCTAGATCCTTACCTTATACCACATACAAAAATTAACTCAAAATTGATCAAAGAAGAAAACTTCATTATACTGGATTTAATAACAATTGTTTATATATAACACTAAAACCACAGGCAAAAAAAAGTTAAAACAGATAAATTGAACTAAATTTTAAAACTTCTGGAAAATTAAAAAGTTTTAAAAAATTAAAAAGTAAAAAGTTAAAGATAGAAAGAAAGAAATACGTTACATTTAAATAAGTGGCATTATAAGTTCTGAATGTTTTCAAATGCACAATTTACCATAATATTACCATTTATAAATATTAAGCTAATAAACTACACTCGAATATTTTAAAATATAATTTAGTTGGTAAGCAGCGTAGAAATGCCCAAAGATACCAATAAATGAACAAATTCCTCACAAAAGACAGGAACATAGGGCATATTCTCTCCATCTTTTGGAGGAAAATGACAGTCAAAATAAGTGGAAGTATAATGTTCAAACGAATATCCTAAAACCTTTCATTTTTCCTTTTAGGAGATAGGTGCACTTGGAATCTTTTAACATGCTAAACCAAGCACACATTTCTCATTTTTTAAAAATGCATTGACTACTATAATTATAGTAGGGTAAATTTTTAGCAATTTCTCAATTTAATATACTTCTTAAAATTATGGTTCACAAAAAATAATGAAATCACATATTAATTTCTATGCAAAAAGCTTTTCAGAGCAACTTCATCATTGTAAAATGTGGAGAAATGCCATATGAATGCCTAATTTTCAATATCTCCTTAACTCTATGAGCTACTATGTAATGCTAGGAAAAGAGATGATGTTTTGTTGCTTTTAACTTTGTTTTTATTGTTGACACTATTATAGATATCTCCATTCCCCAACCCCCCACTTTGCCCACCTTCCCCCCTTCCGTGGGAAAACAGGATAAAGATGAGCTTTGTCTCCACCCACCAGCATCTACCAAAAATAAGTTATTAGCAGCATATCTGGATGCATAATTCAAGTATTGATGTAAAAGTTCATCAATTCAGATTCTATTAGTTCAAAACGTATGATAATTTTCTTCAATTTCATACCTTAAATTTTCTAAGTTACTCATTATCCTGAAAATTTTTAGTAATGAGTTCAAATACTAGTGTCTGAAATTCAGTCCTATTTTCAAAACAACTAGGTCATATTTTAAGAATTTGTTTCTTCTAACTTGTAAATTTTATAACTCTACAAAAATCAGACAAATGAGACTACTCATGAATTATAATTTTCAACTATTCAAGTTAGTTTTACTTCTTAATATGTATTTAAACTTAAATTATCAATACTTTAATAATTAAATTTGTTTTCTTTAGAAATTATATTGCTTTTTCATTAAGTCAAACTAGTTCTGCCACCATTATTTTGATCAAATAATATTCTAGAAAATTAAATATAATTTTAATTCCAAAAGAGAATCAATATTTCAGTAACATACTAAGTGATTAATATTCCTAGATAGGCACATACATATACAGAGTTTATTACAAAGTTTTGTACTGTGGTCAAAATCTGGACTATATCATTCAAATAGTTTATAAAGTATGACACAAAAAAACAAAATGACATTTTACTGATACTGTTGAACTACAGCAATACTAAACCTGAAGTAGTCTTTAAAAAATAAATCTAATGAAGTAAAATACTAACAAAAAGTCTGGACGGAACATTCTGACTACCTGGATACTGTACAAATGGAGGCTCCAAATAGACTTCAATGCAAAATTTACATATACATACTCAAATACTTTTATTTCTTATAAAAGTCCATAAAAGCAACAATACAAAGCAATAATCAAAAGCAACAGTACAATATATACATAGAAGATTAAAAACAAATATAACAAAGAGTGATTATATTGAGTGTTGTCCTCCCTCTAGTTCCCAATTTGGGGTAATATTTTGTTTAAATTTATGGGAGGAAAAATATATATATATTAAATATATTTTATTGATTTTTTTACAGAGAGGAAGAGAGAGGTATAGAGAGTTAGAAACATCGATGAGAGAGAGACATCGACCAGCTGCCTCCTGCACACTCCCCACTGGGATGTGCCTGCAGCCAAGGTACATGCCCTTGACCGAAATCGAACCTGGGACCTTTCAGTCCACAGGCTGACGCTCTATCCACTGAGCCAAATCAGTTTCAGATATATATATATATATATATTTAAGCAGCAGTTTCTGGCATCAAAAAAGGAATTACAGGGGCAGTGGCTTGTCCTAAAATGATAAACCAAAACTGTTGGTTTCATAGTCATACTAAGCCGAAGATATTTCACATTCCTTAGCACACAATGGATCTTTTATCAATAATGGAAACTGTCTTTGCGAGAATATTTGTTAAGAATGGATGGCATTCTCAATGTTGCAAGCACCCATTAAATTACTTAAAAGGTCAATAAATAAATCACCAATTTAAAATGTTTCTTGAATTCAGAGATATTTAAATTATAAAAGAAAAGACTTACATCTACTATTTTCTCCAGAGCAGTCAGGAAGAACAGATTGAGTTTGTTAACTGTGGGCATGAGTGTCCAAATGCATTACCATCAAAACTGTTAGCGTCAGGATGATGAACACACAATACAGTGTACAGATGATGTGTTGTAGAACTGTGCATCTGAAGCCTGTATAATTTTGCTAACAGTGTCACCCAGTAAAAGAGGGAGGGGAGAATTGTTGGAATTGCTTTCTCCTTGGCTAACTAATGATGTTAAGTCCTAATTGACTAATAAATATTATTTAATTGTATGCATGTTTGTTTGTATATCTATAATAATAGAAGCATAATATGCAAATCGACCAAACAGCCTAACAGCAGAATGACCTTCCAGACGAAGCTGGGGCTGCAGCTGCCTCAGCTGTGCAAGATCCAGGCAGCCAGCAGATGTCAGGGCTGGGAAGGCCTACTCTTGCATGAATTTTGTGCATTGGGCCTCTAGTAGGTAGCTAGGTAGGTAGGTAGGTAGGTAGGTAGGTAGGTAGATTGATAGGGAGGGAGGGAGGGAGGGAGGGAGGGAGGGAGGGAGGGAGGGAGGGAGGGAGGGAGGGAGGGAGGGAGGGAGGGAGGGAGATAGATAGATAGATAGATAGATAGATGATAGATAGATAGATAGATGATAGATAGATAGATAGATAGATAGATAGATAGATAGATAGATAGATAGGTAGGTAGATGATAGATAGATATTGTACCACAAAAGAACTTAACCAACAATGAAATGAAACTTACCTTCATGTTCACCTCACCCCAAAAAGAGATGCACTTTTGAATAGATAACTATAAAATGCTTAAATATAATATTAAGTAAAAAAAAGAGTATGTCTCAAAAGATCACATACAACATGACACCTTTTTTTATAAGATTAAGGTCAACTAAAAATATATATACTTTGGAAGAATATAAGGAAATAAACACCGACTTGAGCATAACAGTGTGCTTAAATAAGAGAAGGCTAAGAGATGGATCAATGAAAAAAAATAATAAGGTTAGATTTCTACCAATGATAACATCATAGATTACTACATAACTTTCATTTTGGGTTGGGGATTCCTAGATGATTCTAATATTAATTTAAGATATATAGATGATAGATAGATAGATGATAGATAGATAGATAGATAGATAGATAGATAGATAGATAGATATAGATAGATAGATATATGAAAGTAGACTAAACATAGACCAATGGTGAGAATGTGTTGTGAGCCAAGGATTATTGAACCTGAAATGAGATGATGTAAAATGGCTTGACATGATATGAAAATGAAAATAAGAATGGTTTACAGTTTGTATGTTAGTATACAAACTGTATACCATTCTTATTTTCAACCTACAACCTCTGAATCAACACAAAAGTCACTCATCTAGGTTGTGTAATTTTCTGCTCCTATTCCCTAACAATTTCCAATTGTGATGCACAAAGTAACACATTCTCCAATGGATGTGAGACTTTGTACCATCACCAATAGACCTTCTGCTCAAAGAGTAGTATCTACACAGGAGAGAAAAAAAGTAGCACAGAGGAAAATTCTGTTGAGTCATCTACTGACTTTGGATTAGGTCTGGCAGTCACCAAAAGCCTCTGAATGGGCAACTGATGGTTCTTATTCATTCATTCATTCATTCAATACTAATAAAATGCCGGCTACATGTCAAATGTCATGCTGAGATCCTTTGGATTTAAGATTAGGACATCCTTAACAAATACTTTAATCTAGCTCCAGAATCAAAATATTCCTCAGGTCAAAGAATCAAGATGACTCTTCAGGACTTTTAGTTAGCTTCTTACCCACACAAGAAAATGGAGAAGCAGCCTCCCAAAGCTAAAAGATGCCAAAGCTCTATTATTAGAATTGAGGGGGGGGGGGGAAATTGCTTCTTCAACAGATGACATTTCATATGGGTTTGTTGCTGTTTATTTTACCTGCAATTTCCAAAAGTGGATTCATGTGCTCTCCTTCTGCCAGCTTCACAAATCCAACCTGATTTCCAAAAGTGTCAACCCCTTGAAAGGGCAAAGTCAAGTGTTTTCCTTGAAGGATTTCTTCTATGAATGGTTTTAATTCCAAAAGAGCATCAATACCACTGGCAAGAGATAATAATATATCTTTCAGTAACATACTAAGTGATAAAATATACAAAACTAAACAGGAACCAGATATAGAAATATAAATTAATTTTGATGCTTGTATTAGTTGTTTTAAAGCACAAAATACCTTTAAAATCTATTTGATTAAAATAAAACTAAGGTTAATTTTTATACAAAAACTATGGAAGAAATGAATTAAGTCTTTACCTCATTATAATTTGTATTATATTAAAGACATAAAAGGAAATATTATTTTATAGTTCACCAAAAATTTTTTAACAAAGGAATATTGCATGCATATTTTGGAAAAGAATTACGGGTAATATATTGCAAGAAACTTAATACCAATGAGAGCTTTTATTAAATTGTGTGGAAAGTTCTATTTAAAAGTACTAATACTTTTTGAAAGGCACTCTACTAAAACTTAATATACATTATTTCTTAAAGTATAAGTCTCCATAATGAAATAATTTACTGTACTTGAACTTAACAAAAATATGTTTATATTCACAAATGCAACTATACAAGTTTGTTATATCTGTTTCGCCTATGTCATTATAGGACTATTTTATTTTAAGTACTTGAATTTTCCTTAAAAAAAAAGTATTTACCATATTAATTAATTATACATTATTATGCTTAGAATTTATAAAATTCTGATTTTATAAATCAGAATCAATTATTTCCACCTTAAAGAGGATTTTGGTGTAGGTACTTTATTGTGAGAAAAAATTTAAAATCTCACTAGAGGGCAGCAATTACTCAAAAAAGAAATAAGTACATTCTTACATTGTGAAGAGGACTTTAAAACACCCTTTGGTGAATACCATTAATTTAAATTATCTTCATAAGTGATTTGCTCACCAATAACTATATGTTAAATGTATGCAACAAAATTTAGGCAGGTATTTTTCTAGATCTTTAATATCTCTAAATTAGTTTTCATATAAATTTTTTAACTGTCATTTATAGCTTCCATACTGAGACTCATTTCTGTCGTAACATAATGTACATTACTTAAGATAGCTCTGGAAATGTCAACATTTTCTCATAATACCTCCAAATCTACACCCTAAATCCAATCTTTACAAACTGTATTTATGTTCATCCAAAAAGACACAATGTGCTACGAGTTAAAGCATTCAAAAACAGAACAGCCACTCTGGCTCATCTATCATAAGTGGAGGGAACTCAAGATACACATTTTAAATATAACTATATATGAAAGCAAAGCATGCTGAAGGTTAGGGCTGTTCAGAGATATAGAATTCCATGTCCCATTTTCCTTTAAATAAATACAGATGATTTAAACTCAGTCCAATTTTTCAGTCCCTAGTTGCATAAATCAAGAAATGTGCTCTAATGAGATGTCATCAATCACAGAGTGAGGAGTCATAGTGTCTATGGAAGTATCACTAACTTTCAAATTCCTTTAAATACAACATTTTTTCAAGAGCAGTTTGTAAAAAGACTTCTATATGGTAAAATTAATAAAAGTATACACATAGTCACAACCAGTTTGGCTCAGTGGATAGATCATTGGCCTGCGGACTAAAAGGTCCCAGGTTCGATTCTGATCAAGGGCATGTACCTTGGTTGTGGGCACATCCCCAGTAGAAGGTGTGCAGGAGGCAGCTGATTGATGTTTCTCTCTCAGTGATGTTTCTAACTCTCTATCTCACTCCCTTCCTCTCTGTAAAAAAAAAATCAATAAAATATATTAACAAAAAAGATAAATAAAAATTAAATTATAAAAAAAAGTATACACATATAGGAAACAGAATTCTGAACCGGGAGTTCAGACCCAAATATTGTATTTAAAGTTAAAACAGGACAGCTATTGTCCAAGGAAAAAAGAATCCTGCCATTGAACTTGAGACTGCAACATCAACTCTTCCCTGGGTCTCCAACCTGCCAGTCTTCCCTGCAGATTTTGGACTTGCCATGGAGCTAATTATGTGAGCTAAATTTTAAAAATTAATCTAGATATGATATACAGATTAGAGATAGAGATATATAAATATATCTAGATATCCATATGGATTTACATCCTATTGATCCTGTTTCTCTAGAGAATGCTGACTTATACACCACCCTAACACACACACGACTTTTGTCTTGTTGTGCCACATCTTTTACTTTTTTTCTTATAGAGAATCAGAATTATTTTTTTCCTTCTGTCTGGCAAAGTGAATGGCTAAACTGAGTAAAGTAAAATCTTCAAGTCCTCTCTGTCATTGCAGGGTGCTCAATATTTGCTCTTGAATAGATCAGGTTGGAGTAAATAGGAAGACTGATCTCTAAAGACATGAGGTTCTACTGTCTAAAAGATATAACTCCAAGAATCATAATGTAGCTGTATATTTTCAGTTACTAATTTATTCTTTTATCTCTTTACTTTCCCTTTACCCCACTCCCTTCCAATTCAAGTTTTGTTCTTCATTCCCTCAGGAAGCTTTATATCAGAGTAGAAAAACGAAGTAACCCTTCATCCTGGCATTGGTTTTCCACAGAGCTTAACCTGAGCTTATTCCAGAGGGCACACAGGAGGTAACAGGAAAGGGAAGAGCAAGGCTTCTCCACTCCATAGTGGAAAGCACCCACCAGTGACTTGAACTCAGCCTTCATGGCACAACTCTGGAATTGGGGGTGGGGGAAGTACTTGTACATTGACCAAGCAAATGACAGCTCTAACAGATAATAATATTGAGTGCCTACTATGTGTCAGGCCCTATACTAAGAATTCTTACATGTATTGGAACTATTATTTTCTCCATTTACTTAAAAAGTAAATTTCTTTTTCCAAAATCAGACATCTTTTAAGAGGTGGTTGTGCCATAGAGTGTTCCAGAGTCTTTATCTAGAATCTTAACCTAAGTGGTCAGACTCCAGAGGGCTCATATAATTAACATGGACAAAAAAAAAAATACTGCATTGTCAAGGGCTACTATTGAATAACAAAAACAGAGCTTTAAAGTCTAGCTTTAAAGAATATTTATACAGCTAATTCAGAATACGGACTTCTGACTGAAATAAATTTAAAAAAATATTTCTTTAGAATTTAAATGCCTTTTGGGTTCTGCTATGATTATTCATATAAAAGTAATAATTTGAAAAACAATCTTCAAGAAAGACATATTACTCACATGTTTACTTCATCGTCATTTAACTGCATCACCAACAGGGTAACATGAAAGGAACCATCACCCATCATTGCCTTGGCCAGGCGCTTATCCTGTTGTATTACTGCATTCTGCAGGATCTTAATTCCTTTTGTAATCTAATCCACACATAAAATAGAGATTAGGTAAGCAAAACTTCCTATGGCCAAGTGTAAATCAAGAAGAAACATAAGCATCCACCAAAATTAGAAATGTCAAGATTCTTCAACCAAACAAAACTGAATTGTCTCACTTGTTCTCAAATGTCCTAATAAGTGACTGGAAAGCTTAATAAGATGCATAAGTTTTTCAAATTATACAATGCTTATCCACCTTAAGAGCATTGAGCCTAACACCATTATTTTACAGATCGGGTGACTAGTTGAGCAGAAAATCAATGGCCATGCATCTCTTCAGAAACTTGTCCTTGAATATATAGTGTGATTTACTATACTTAGGATCTTTTCTCTAAAAAGTTTTAGTTTTGCACAGAAAGATCAAGCCATCATACAACAGCCCATTTCTGTTGGGAGTCATATTTATTAATCGCCTAGTGAACAATTTCAATAGGGATGACTACTGTCATTCTTCCAGGCATATGAGGAGGGAGAGTGGCAAAGAAGACCAAACAGGTATATGAGAAAAGCCCTTACCATTTGCATCCAGACAAAGCCCCAAAGTCCTTTACCAGCCTTCCCCTCTCACTGCCTACCCTCCTCCTTTCCAGTTAGAGCCAACTCTAGTCAACTTCTTAGTGTGAGTGTACTGGAAAATACATAGAAAACAGCAAACTAAGCCTGGCCCTGAGAAAAGAGAGCACACAGGAGCCCTGAGGCGGCAGCATTAGTCAGAGAGAGAAGGTGAAGGGGAGAGAAGGACTGGCAACAGAAGCAGAGTCAGGAAAACAGAGATAAGAAAACACTGAATCAGGAGCATAGCAGGCTGTTCCTGATACCAGAGCAGCTGCTTCATCCTGAACAAGGCTCCCATTATCTGAGGAATGTGGCTGGGCAGATCCCGGGATGTGTCCTGGGATGTGACTGCTCCGGTAGCTTTACAATAAATGCACGCCACCCAAAAGAACCTCAGCGTTTCTTATTCCTTGCAATCTGGAGGACCGAAACACAGGAAACAGCACTTCCCTGGTTAGAATTTGCACAGTAACAGCTAACATGATCTTTTCCTACGCAAGATGTACTTGTGTGACACCCAATGAAGGAATGTTGATGGCCTGTTAATTAACGTAATATAACTGTACACACAGATCTTAGAAACCCACAGTTTCCTCGACATGACACTGACAAAACTGAACTATGAACTCCTCCAGGGCAATACCTATTTCTTCTACCCCCACCTTACCACAGTGCCTGGTCATAATAACAAAAACAACATTTAACCAATGACACGAGGAACTAACCTTCATTGTGTGGCCACTAGGTTCTAGGCACTACGGTAAGCTCTTTACACGTATTAGTTCCCTGAAGCCCCTCTACAATCCTAGGAGGCACGCGTTGGTATCATTTCTACTAAACGAAGTTGAACAAGTTTAAAAAAAAAAAATCCCTTCACAATCATATACCCAAAGCAGCACAGGAACTTGGGAAAAGGGTAAATTGCAGTGCATGGGAAAAGATGAGGGAGGCACCTGCAGGAAAGACCAGGAAGAGTGTGGAGGAGGAGCTGTAGCTGAGAGCAATGGAGGAAGAGTTACACGGAATTTGTTTTCAAGAAGGCAAGGAGAGGGTCAAAGATGTGGGTACTGACTTAAGAAATGAAACATCGGGGAGAAAAAGACATTTAAAGGAAGGTTTGGGGGAATCTTACTGGACACTGTATAATGGAACAACACATTATCTCTCTCAAAACAAAGCCTTTAGTGTAAGTTTCTATTAAATTGGAAATTTGAATTTTGAGAGTTTTCCCCAGTGCAATGAAGTGCTGAAATCGGCTTTTGGGAATAATAAAGCAGCTAAAGAATGTCCAGGTTCATATGGAAGGGGCCTAAATAGGTGTTCAACAATGTCAGATCTCAAAACAATATAATTACATCTTTTAATCTTAGCCGGTACAACTGGTAATTCTGGTTTAATTGATAATGAGACGGTGATTTAGGATGAGAATTTTGCTATATAATACAGAGATATGTGAGGGGTGCTGGACATGGCGCAAAAATCCTAGGCCTGGGGTGTAACCCCATACAAGTCACCTGGTTTTACTAAGTCTTGGTTTCTCCCCTTACAAAATAGGAATAATAAAATGTGTATTGCCAAATTTATAAAGTTATGTTAAAGGTCACAGAAGAGCCCTGGCTGGTTTGGCTCACTGGATAGAGCATCAGCCTGCAGACTGAGGGGTCCCAGGTTCGATTCCAGTCAAGGGCACGTGCCGGGGCATGCAGGCGGCAGCCGATAGATGATTCTCATCATTGATGTTTCTCTCTGTCTCCCTCTCTCTTCTTCTCTGAAATCAATAAAAATGTTTTTTGTGTTTGTTTGTTTTTTTTTAAAAAAAGATCACAGTAGATAATTTACATAGTCGATGAACTACTTTGTGAACTCTATACCACTTGCCTAACATAAGGTTTGCAACACTGCAATGTTATTAAAATCAGTGGTTCTATTCCTTGGGCAATTTTGCCTCCCAAAGGACATTGGGCAATGCCTGGCCACATTTTGATTGTCACAACTGAAGATTTGCTACTTGCATCCAGTGAGTCCAGTATTTGCATTTTCTTGGTCTTAAAAACTTAAGTTTTCATTCTAAGCTCAAATACTAATTATATATAAATTCAGGACAATACTCAAATTCCATTCATTTGTATATTCTACATTTTAGTGCAATGCCATACATGGTAAAATAGTTTTAGAACATTCATATCTTTGAGTCCAGTAGCTTGTAAAGTTGCTAATTAAAAACTGTAAAACACTTTGAAGACCATTTCTCTGAAGTCACACAGTACTTAAAATGCAAGATCAAACCTATGAAAATTCTGAAGTTAATCTAATCAAGTAACATATGTCTGATTATTCTTTGATGGGACAGATTAATTTATATATTCCTTGATATCATCTTAACAGTTTTTAAAATACATTCTATTCCTAATTACATTCTTAAAAGATAAAAAGGAAAATTACTTCAAGACTCTGAAGTCTTATCTATATGCTATTAGAACAAATACCCATGTCATTAAAGGCCAAAGGAAACTAATTTTTACAGTCATTATTTAAAATTCATAAATTCATTAAAGCCTATTTTTTTACCATAACCTGCAGCCATTAGCAATACTGCACAATGCACATATTAATGATCTATTACTATAGAGTCATATTTAAATATGACATTGAAAGAAACCTTTAAAAACAAACAGCTTTATTCTTAAATATTTCACTCACTGATTAGTAATTTCTGGTTGTTTAGAGAATAAATCAGACACCCATTTACTAAACCACACCACTAAGCCAATATTCCATTGAAAACAACACAATGAGGAAGTTAATTGTTATATCTTTTAAGCTTTCTAATTGAGTCAAAGCATATTATGAGTTCAAAGAAAAGGCCTTAAAGTTAGTGTACAAGAGGGCATGTGAGCATATTACATTGTTACCTAACTTTTCTTTAAAGCTAAATACTCTCATCTTTTCTTGCTTGTCTACAACCATGAAAAACAACTCAAAAAAGGTAATGATTTAGAATAACTGAAGTAAAACTAAGAAATTATCCTCAAATAGGGAGTTTTTTTTATCTACCAAGTGCTTCACATACATGATCATATCAAATACTTTCACAAATACATTTCCCAGAAACTGAATGCACAAATCTACTTGCATATTTTCCTGACTAAAATGATGAAATAATAGAATTAAATGTAATAAATGCCTTTTTAAGCCTCTAAAAACTCATACTTTTCTACTAATATAGAAAAACTGTCTTACAAAGAAATTAATACACTCCTAATTCAATCATCTTCTGATTGTTCCCTTACATTTCCAATCCTGATTTGCCTTAAATTATTACTTCTCATAAGAGAGCATATAAAATCTAGTCAGTTAAGAAAGACTGAAGATTTATTATAGCTCCATTAAATTTTTTCTTCTTTATTTTCATATTTGAGCTAAGTAATTGCCAGTAATGAAGAAATACATACTTTCATATTCTTAAAATTGGGAGATTTTTATGCAGTCATTCTAATTCACTTTCCAATTCCATTATTTAAAAATATGAAATCATTATTTTCCACTAATAAAGAACTCAAAACATCTAAGAACATGTTTATAAAAACCAAAGGTCCATGTAAGTCTGAAAACTTTTTTCTTTAAAACTAGATGCCAACAAGTAGAGACCAAAAGTAGAGCAACTCATTGTGAGAGTGCTAGCTTCCCAAAGCCTGTTTGCAGGTCACTTAATTGAAATTTGGAGTACAGTCTCCCATTGAAACAATGTTATAAATGCTGCTCCCTTTCCCAGGCCTTCCCACAAAAGCTCATAAGTAGTTTAAAAAGAAAATGAACATTAGATGCTTGAAAACAAACAAACAAAAAAGTTGCTCCTACAAAAGATAGAAAATGTACCTCCTGAAGTCCCATTCTTGCCTCTAAAACCCATATTTAATATGAAGCTTTTGGTTGCCTACAAATAAGTCTCTTGAGAGACTTATTACATTATTAAAATAATTTGGTTTTGAGGTCACTTGAAATCTGTATTCCCCACTATTACAAGTTACCCTAAGCCCCTCAAGACAAATCACTACTGTTGAGCCTATATTATAAAATTGACATTTATAACACTGTATTTATTATTTGTAATGTTCTGGTTGTAACTTAGTATGCCAGAAACACATCTTTTGCCCCTGAAATGACGTTATTTTGTGTTTACTCTTGGCCAAGCACTGTTGTAGGTACTGGGAATGGGCTGAAAAACGCTGTAAGAAGACTAACAAGCGTCAAATTGCAAGGATGACAAATGACAAAAGGAAAGACTTTTAAGTCTTTTGGGGGAAAGGGGAAGATTGACCTCGTCAGGGTGGTCACAGCCGAGAGGCATGAGCTGAGATTCTGGCTGTAACAAACCCAGAGAGAAAGACAACTCCTGCCAGAGAAGGCTTTTCCTGGACAGAGGGAAGCTGGCGAGCTCACAGAAGGCCAGAGGGGCTCCAGCAGAAGGAAGGAGAGCTGAAGCGGAGGTCAGACCGTGCAGAATCTTATGGAATATGGTAAAGGCTTTGTCTTTATCCTAAATACTGAAATGTATAGGCAGGGAGGTAATATGCCCAGATTTGGGTTTTGAAAACAGTCATTATCACCTCCGTTTTACACCTGAAGTAATGGAAATTCAGTAACCCGATCTACATCCACTGTAGAGTTTGTGACCCAGCTGCTATTTGAACAATGTCTGTCAGACCCCAAAGCTTGTACTCTTGTCACTTTCTATACAACATCCCAGAAGTTGTGAGGCAGAAACGAAAGCTGCTCAGTGAAAACTAAGGTTTGCAGACAGTTCTCCCATTCCCTTTCCTCCCATCACCTTGGTGATCCAAATCCTGAACTAAGAGAGAAATACCAAAACATCAGTGATGAGAGAGAACCATGGATAGGCTCCTCCTGCATGCCCCCACTCAGTATCAAACCCACAACATAGGCATGTGCTCTGACTGTGAATCGAACCTTCACCTCCTGGTTCATAGGTCAATGCTCAACCACTCAACAACACAAGACCTACTCTTGGACAAATTTCGTGCATCAGGCCTCTAGTTATATATAATTGTTGGTTACATTAAACTAAACACTTTTAAGAACTACTTTACTATTAATCCCCCAGTATGTACCAGTGAAATCAGAATGTGATTCTAAGATCTTATATTGTTAGGAATACAATTAATCTTTTTATTTGTCTTCTTTCCCTGGCTAAAGCTTACCTCAAAGACTAGATATTTCCTGGAATGTCCCAAGAGAATTTTCTTATGATATTTATTTCCTGGATTTCAATTTGTTTTATTTTTAAAGGTTCATTAGCATTCCCCAGAAACATTTTAGTTAAATAAGGGGAGAAGCAACCTGAAAGTGCCCAGTAGGAAGAGATTAAACCCACAATCAAAGAGAAATTCAGCTCTGGCTCTTAAATTGGGTCAAGACGTAAATGCAGTCAGTCTTCCAAGTCAGGCATTGTTTTGTAAGGCATTTCAGTTCCTACCTCCCTGCTCTAGCAGTTTTTTAATTTAAAATATTTATTGTTGAGAGTATTACATAGGTCCTCTTTTCCTCCCCATAACCTCTTCCAGCCTGCTACTCTAGCAGTTTTAATTAGAGACTGTAGTTTGATTTCTCAGCCACATATATGAGGGTTTGTTAAAGTGGGCTAACGAGCTGATCTGATTTCCTATTATTCATACCACATTAATTTTTCAGATTTGTAATAGATTTCTACCAAGTCTGTCATGTACTATTAAATTGATGTGACAATGAGTAAATTTTAAAGAAATCATGTTGCAATCATCATTACCATAAAGAGGACTAAGCAGCAAGAAATCCCTGTTTACTTTCCCAGCAAAGATTTCAGAATTCCTCTCTATCTACCTGGTCACTGCTCTCAGCTCCTGAAAGTTTCCTCTGTTGTGGTGACCAAATGCTTACAAAGGACCATGACATGCCATCTGGCAATACTCTTCCAAGTGGCTTTTGCAAAATTGTTTAAATATGATGGTTGATGTAGTCCCATTTGTTTATTTTCCCTTTAGCTTCCATTGCCCTAGGGGCAGTATCAGTGAAGAAGTTCTTTTGGCATATGTCTGAGATTTTGCTGCCTGTGGATGCCTCTAGTAGTTTTATGCTTTCCTGTCTTATGTTTAAGTCCTGATTCCATTTTGAGTTTATTTTTGTGTATGGTATAAGTTGGTGATCTAGTTTCATTCTTTTGCATGTATCTGTCCAATTTTCAACAAAATAACAAGAAAGCCCACTGTATGGGAGAACATATTTGCAAACGTTACCACTGATAAAGGTTGTCCAACATCTATAGACAGCTTATACAACTAAATAAAAGGAAAATGAATGATCCAATTAAAATATGGGCAATGGACCTAAATAGAATATTTTCAAAAGAAGACAGAAGGAAGGCCAAGAGGCACATGAAAACATGCTCAAAGTCAGTAATTATCCGAGAGATGCAAATCAAAACAACAATGCGGTACCATCTCACACCTTCAGAATAGCCAACATCCACAAATCAACAAACGACAAGTGTTGGCGAGGTTGCGGAGAAAAAGGAACCCTCGTGCACTGCTGGTGGGAATGCAGACTGGTGCAACCACTGTGGAGAACAGTGTGGAGTTTCCTCAAAAAACTGAAAATGGAACTCTCATTTAACCCAGTAATCCCACTCCTAGGAATATATCCCAAGAAACTAGAAACACCAATCAGAAAGGATATATGCATCCCTATGTTCATAGCAGCAGAATCTACAATAGTTAGAATTTGGAAACAGCCTAGGTGCCCGTCAGCAGATGATTGGATCAAAAAACCATGGTACATCTATACAATGGAATACTATGCTGCCATAAAAAAGAAGGAATTCTCATCATTTGCAGCAACCTGGATAGAAGTAAAGAACATCATGCTGAGTGAAATAAGCCAGTCAATGAAAGAGAAATACCACATGACCTCACTCATTTATGGATAATAAAGTACATTATAAACTGATGAACCAAAAGATAGATATAGAGACAGTAAAACAACAAGCAGACTGTCAAATTACAGTGGGGAGGGGAGGGAGATCTGGGGGAGATAACAGATCAACCGAAGGACTTGTATACATGCATATAAGTACAATCAATGGACACAAAACTCTGGGGAGGGAGGGTATGTATGGGAGTGGGGAGAGCAATGTTAAAATATGTACACAGATAATAATTTAATTAAAAAATTAAATTAAAAATTAAAAAAAAAAACTAGGAATGAGGGTTCATGACTATATTATCCAGATATTGGAGGGGGAGTGGTTACTACAGCCAATATTTTAGGCCTTATTAGAAACACTGAATTTGCCACACAGTACAACCTTTTCCTTATTGGTGACTTGTGCAATAATAATTACTTAATGGTGTCATAGGGAATAAAATAAAAGCCATAATACAAAACTTTTAGGTTCTCCGAAGCTGAAATATCAAATTATTTTGGAACACATGAATTTTTTTGGTATCATTTTTTGGCTTTATTCTGCTTGTACATATTTTGGCATGAAGTGAGGTATAAATAAATGAATAAACAAAGAAATAGAGTAGTTAAAAATAAATAAATAAATAAATAAATAAATAAATAGTTGAAATAATTATTTTTCAAAATTATTTTTAAATATATTCCATTTAAATACAAATATTCCTTGAAAGGCCCAGCTAACATGCCACCAAAGACTCCTATAAACTGAGAGCAAATGGACTTACAAGTAAGTATTTAATGTACTTTAAATATAATTTAGAACTTTTTAGTAAAAATAGTTTGTAAAAATATAGCACCTCTTTGTTGGTGATTGGAATGGAGAGGAAATAGTTTGGTTGATAGTCTTTGTACTTTTTCTTCTTCTTTATTTGATCTTTATATTCATTTTCTTCACTTCTTTCCAAATTTACTTGAGGTACATCAGTGACTAGAAGATAAAAATCAAACAATAATATACCCAGTGTATTAAAACAAAGTTAATATAGGAAACAAACACTATATAAGTAGCAATCATTCACAACTGTTATTTTCAAATTGAAAGCAGGAGCTGGCAAACTCTCCCACAAAGGAGCTAAAAGTAATTATTTTACACTTCGCATATCAGATAGTCTCAGTCAAAACTACCCAAGTCTGTTGTAGACGAAACACAGATGAACAGGTGTAGCTGTGTTCCAGTAAAACTTTCACGTTGCAGCCAGCCGGTGGGCCAGTGTACTAACCTCTGATCTAACGCATGACCAACCACCATTCTCCCCTCTGTGCCACAATATTCATGACACTAGGAAACATTTTTTTCATCCATCCTGCATGACTCAATATGTGTGATTACTTGTAGCAGTCCCACTCAAAGTTTGGTTTACGGCCAATGTCACATTACAAGCTATTTGTTGTAAAAAAAAAATTAAGAGACTACTTTAGAAACACTCATATCACTTAGGCAAAGGAATTTTGTCTATTGGATTTTGGTTTCTATTCTGTTGGTCATTTTTAAAACATTTTTCTAATAATTCATTTTTATTGCCTTTTACAAAAGTATCAGTGGACAACAAGTAGGAATTAAAAACAAAGCAAAACTGGTCCTTGACTGTAGATAATTTCAGAAGCACTTAACGCACTTCTTTTTAAAGTCACATTTGAAAGACTCATTTATAATAACACTCAACAATTCTAATTGTGAAGCTATGCCCCAGAAATAACCCACCAAATCAGTCTGAAATTGTCTCCTTTTTTTTTTTTTTTTTTTTTTTTTTAACAGATTTTACCTGGTGCTTCCATCTGCATGCAAAACTACCATTAAGTTGATTTTCAGGTTTTGTCTTCCTGAACCGTAGCTTACTGTTCAAATTGGAGTGTCTCAGACAGACTTTGTAAAAATACTAATATATTTTCTAAGGTATGCTTCTGGAAAGGAGTGAGAGAGAAGAACCACCTTACTTACATTTAATCCCATTGGTTGGTTTCATCTTTGGATCAATTCTAATCGACCACAGTGACCACCTGCACCCAATGCCTTGAGAAAGACTGGCAAGTCCGAGCTGAACCAACAGCATAATTCCCATGTGTCAATGCAACCCTGATTTTACTAAGCTTCTCATTTTACATATGATGCAACAAGAGCAGAAAACCCTTTAAAAACTGCTCAGCATCACAGAGTTGAGTCTGGTATTTAGACCTCAACTCTCCTAGAATACTTTCTACTGGATCAAACTACTTCTCTATTTCAGTTCTGCTAAGTAGTTACTATTACACACCAAACTAGTCTCCCAACAAGCATCTTCCTGTCAAGCCACTTCATTTCTTTATCTGAGAACCTGAAATCTGGCCAGCCCTTAGAGATATAGCTGATTCTAGGTCTGGGGCACAAAATGTATCAGAGGAGCTTGGAAATCAAAGACTCCTGGACCATGTCAGAAGTCTCTGGAGCATATCTGAAAGTTCCCGACTTTGGCCAAAGATTAAACAATTTGAGCATCAAATAGAATAATAACTTCAATGATGTTATTTAAACATCAAATAAGCTTAAACCCATCAGCTCAAGATAATAAACAAAAGAAAAATTAAAACCAAAAACTTACAGGTCACCTTTGGAGGAGTCTAAAGAACTGTTATTCTAAAAATCTGATGATAAAAGGGAAAATAAATCACACATTTATCCAGTCTTCCTTTGTGACCAAATAGTCATAAAAAAAATAAGTTAATTAAGGTAAAGTCCTTCTTTATAGAAATTTTCAGCTCATAAATGCGGAAGAATAGTTAAAATATCACCATTTAAAAATGTCTCTTGATGTCACACAATAGTAAATTCAAAATGTTTTTGCAGCACTTTTATTCCAAAACTTGAAAAAGCATCCTAATATAACTACTAGTTAACTGTAAATATAAAGGACAGAGAAAGATGTTAAATGACTATAATAGGATACTTCTATACAACCTGACTTCTTCAACAATACACACACACACACACACACACACACACACACACACACACCCCAGAAGCAGGGGAGAGACCAATAATATCTATCTAAGGTTAGTTATAGTTTCCTATGATCTGTAATAAAGGTACTGTTAACAGCTATACCAATTAGGCCATTTAGTGGTAAAGTTAAATAAAGAATGTTGTTCAAACTAAAATTAACATAGTAGAAAGAGAATCCTAAACCTACAGTCTAGTTTTTATTTTTTCAAACTGCAAGTATCAGCCTATTCATGGGTTATGAAATAATCTTAAAAAATAATAAAAAGGTACCTTTTAAAAACTGGAATGGAATGAAAAGGAATGGAATCGAATTAGTATAAACAGTACATTGCTTATGGTAAGTTTAAGTATTGCTTCATAAAATTTGAGCTTTTTGCATACACATGTATTGGGTAGAAAAGTAAAATATATTTTTTACTGGAACATAAGACACAGAAACATTTTTGCTATATTTTACAAAATATGAACAATACTAAGAGGGGAAACAGACAAGGTATTTGAAAGGCCACTGAAGCTTTCAGCATTTTAAATTGTTTTATAACTTATCTGTTTAAAACCAAACTGTCCTCTGTCTGCAGCAACTTCCTTTGCATTTCAAACATTCCAAATGACCATTTTGCAGACATATTGAGAAGAAAAACCATAATCTCTAAATGTAATACTCTTTTTTTATCTAAGGTAATACTCTTAAGTTGTAATATATCACAACTCTAACAATTCTGGCATCATGAGAATGATGTAGAGAAAAAAAAAAACAATTTTTGGTAAAAATAAGTACAACATTTCTCTCAATTCCCTTAGCTTTCTATAATCTTACCAATAATTATCTCTCTTTCATTTGAACTGGATTAGCTAAAATTTTATTTTGGTAGGCATCACAGTCAGGGCAAAATTTTAGAATATCTGATGATAGCTGAGTAAAAAAAAAAAAAAAAAAGGAGATTTATCTATGAATATTTTTTGCTATAGTGATTTTATTTACCCTTGTAATATATGTTTTGTTTTTAATTCAGAGAGTCCTGCTGATTTACAGTCAACTTGTTACCCACTGAACCCAGGATCTATTTTTTCCTCTTTACCCATCTTTGTCTTTTGGCGGTAAAGTTTATTTGCCTAGCCAGAATATAAAATCCCTTTTTTCCTTACTGAACTTCATTTTATTTCTAACTTTGAAATCATAATCTAAGTTCCAAAATATAATTTGCTACTACTCTTTTCATTTAGTCCATAGGAAAGTACAATGAGCAAAGTACTCATATAATATCTAGCAATGTTCATGCATCGGATAGGAACACTCAGAAAGTAACCATAACAGTACATTGTCAGAAGCAATGCAGACACAACATTAAAATCACTGAGTACTATTTTTAAAAGAAATTGCCAATCTGATAGGTTATAATCGTATGTTAATGTGCACCCTTTGATACTTATGAAGTTGAATAACTCCCCATACATTTGTCTACTAACTGAATTTTATCTTCTACCACCTTTGCCCAGCACCAATAATAGTACCTGGTACATAGTAGGCATTCAATAATTATGTGTTCAATGAAGTAATGTATCCATTAGGCTTTTCTAATTTGTGTGTGTGTGTGTGTGTGTGTGTGTGTGTGTGTGTGTGTGTGTGTGTTTAAGGGGAGGAGAGGAAGATATCAACTCTTTGTATCATTTGGACCAAATATTTAAGCCTTTCAAAATAAAATTTGGACTATGCTTCCCCAATCAGTTACAGAAAGGAAACAGAACATAACTTATCTTTTTAAAAACCTGATTCAGGATAATCACTTACTATAATAGGGATAGCAATTCAACCTTATTTGATTCATCATTTTTCTATAAAAAATTTTTCAGGTACTGTAAGTTTCAATTGATATATTAAAATACTTAGGAGTTAAAGTATTTTTTAAAATACAGCTTAAAAGTATTAGATAATAAGTAATAAAATGATAACTTCCCACATCTCTGAAATCTCCAATAACTACAAGGTGAGAATTCTGTGCGAGGCAAAATAAGGACTGTAATCACTTCAATATAAAGAGAACTGAATTCCACAATGAGGAAAGACATGTTGCTAAAAAACAAAACAAAAAAAAAACTCACTCAAATATTTTATCTTGAATCTTGATTAAATATGGCTTGATAGTTAAAGGCTGTGATTCTCTTAAGGGAAAAGAGTCCAATAAACTAAAGGCCATCGCAAATCTATACTTTATGGAAATCACACAAAGCCATTCTGTCCACAACAGGATGGCTCTCCCTTGCATTTTCCCATTCAGCTTTCAGAGGCAGAACAAGCAGAAATCCCATTTTCTGGGTGGTTTACTGTCATTGATATAGCCTATTGATCAATGACACTTGTCCCAGTAAGCAACAGACCCATCCAGGCCCAGGCCAACACGATGCTGCATTTTCTCCCAGAACATGTCCACCCTGCAAAGCCAGAGGTGTGGCTCAGGTTGTAAGGCTTCCTACATATTTCTACAATTCTCTTTTCTATATACATTGGAATATTTTATTTATAATATATATTTTTAGCCTAATAAATATAACAAATATATCTTACACTTAATTCTAATGTAATATTCTAATACGTTTCATAGTATAACATTTAATCCTAGTAAAATAGTCTCTTCTCCAAAACAAAAAGAAAACAAAAAAAAGGAAAGACTCATTTCAGCCAATGAGGCTGCATGACACCTAGTGACACTGCACCCCACTGAAGGTAACACAGTTGGCAACTGAGACACTCAGATCAAACATTTGGGGAGGAGTTTTCTTACTGGCAAGGATTCCCCTTCCCACGGTGTTCTTGTGAGCACTATTTTCCCCATCGCTCTGCCAGGGCTTCAACCAGCAAGAATTTCTTGGCAGTTAACTCACAATTTCCATCCCCAAAGGAAACTGAGAGAACCAAAGGCAACCACCAGCTACTTGAGCATTTGAAGGTTGTTGTCTACCACAGAGCCATTCAACTGACTCAGTTTCCATGTTACTAAATGTAAGAGAAAGCCCCAAATCATTTCAAGCTACCAACTAATGATTCTGTGTTCTGGACACAAACCCTTTAACTATATCTAACTTCAGGTTTAAGGGTTGGCAATAATAATTCCAATTTCTACACAAATCCCTCTTCACAAAAATGAGTTCGTTTCTGGTTTGCAAAGGATTTTACTATTTGTTCCTTAGTGTTTTGGTGAGTGCTATTATAAAAATGAGCGAACAAAGAACGAAATGATATGTCTCAAAGGTTTAATACATAGCATTTATAAATATTGTACATTTTTAATTGCCTTCTTCCACACATTACTTCTTTTGATCTGTACAGCAACACCACGTGAGGTAAACAGGAGAAAGTTGTATCTCACAGTTGAAGAAGTCCAGTTCACAAATTGGACGTTGTGCCCAATGTCATACAAGTAGAAATTAACCAAAACCTAAAACACAAGTTTTCTGTCTCTCTCATTATACCACACTGACTCTAAGTTGCAAGTATGAACTCAATCTTTCCACAAAAGTAATATTATACATGGTGGTCTGGAGTCTAGACTAACCCACAGATACTTTTAATTCATTAAGTCTGAGTTATCAAAAAGTGGCCCTAATACTCTGCCTAAAAATGGACTTCTATGGGGCGACCCTAACTGACACATCTCTTTCCTTCTTTCTGGCCCTATTGGCCATTTTCTCACCGGTGAAGATATAAGAACACAGTGGAGCTATAGAAATACTAGATGCGTTCTGGGATTCTGGAGGTATCACTCTCAATCTCTGGTAGAAGCAATTTGTTTTATATAGATTAGGTTTCTATAAAAAGTACCAACGGTGAACCAGTTTCACTTCTTGTCCCAGTCTAACCTATGCGCACTTGGATGGGAGTGATTCAGAGACTGCAAAAGGGAGCAGAGGGGCATTGCACTTAGGCATGATTATTCAGGAGCTGTCTTCCTTGTGTATCCAATTTGAATAATGAAATCAGAAAGAAGTGTATCCAATTTGAATAATGAAATCAGAAAGAAGTGACTGTAATTTTTAGATGTATTCATTTTATTGTTCAAAATGTAGGGAATGAAGAGGAAAACAGGACTACATCATTGCAATTTTTGCCTCTCATTTCCAAAAGGTATCTTTTTCTACTTACCTGGCACACACTCTAATTCTTCAAATGAAGGTTTCTCTGACAGCCATGAAAACCACAAAAGCTGCCATAACTGGGTTGGCTCAGTGGATAGAGCGTCGGCCTGCAGACTGAAAGGTCCCAGGTTTGATTCCGGTCAAGGGCATATACCTTGGTTGTGGGCACATCCCCAGTAGCAGGTATGCAGGAGGCAGCTGATCGATGATTCTCTCTCATTGATGTTTCTAACTCTCTATCCCTCTCTCTGTAAAAAATCGATAAAAATAAAAAATAAAAACACCACAAAAGCTGTTCCCAAAAGCTGTTCCCTACAGAACAGCTGTAAAGGAAAAGATGGGAGTCCCATGTCCTGACCAAGCAAATACCTCTTCCTCCTCCCTTTTCTCTGGATTATGGAATAGGAAACACTGACTAATAAGGTACCAGGGATTTCATACATTCTAAGCATTCCTCACTCCTTATATCTCCCCAAAATATAAAGCAGGTGTCCTGTATGCGAAGACAGTGTGACAGTGTGGCTTCTGAGCCTGGCTGAGCATCAGAATTACATGGGATGTTTAAAAATAAAACAAAGAGGTTCCACCTGACACAGAGGTGGGAGAGAAGAATCCGTAATTTCATATCACTCCACAGAAAATTCTGATGACCAGTTAAGGTCAAGACAGCACAGAGGAAAGGACCCTGGATAGTTCGTACTTAGCGGCCAGGCCTCCCGCACGGTCCCAAACCTCTGGGAAGCCTTCCAAAACACCCTTTACGCCCACAGCCAGGTTACACGCCTCCCCACACACATCCTCACCCATGCACTCCCACAGCATCCTGGATGGCATCCACCTTAGGCAATTGGAGCTCTTAACGATTGGCTCTCCATTGAATCTTTTAAATCTAGAAAACCATTACTTAACAATCCAAACTAAAAACCATGACAGGTGCGTAAGGTGAATTTATTAAGAAAAACATATATATCATTAAGTTGAATATATATTTAATAAAGTACTTACTTCCACAATCATCTTTAGTATCTATAGTAGCAAGAGGCATATCTACCAGAGAATCCATAGCCTTGGCTTCAAAGTCTTCTAACGTCTTCTTTTTCCCTGGCATATTTTCACACTCACTGGAATTTGCTTCTTCTTTAGCATATCACAAAAGAGAAAAACATGTCAGTTAATTTAACTAACTTATATGCTAAGGTAAAATAACTCAACTAACTAAATCAATAAGAATTAACATGTTATACAGTAAACTCCCAAAGAAAGTCTACTGCTGATCTAAAGACTTATCTTCGGGGTAAAGAACTAAGGGTCCAAAGGTATAACAGTTCATGAGGTCAGTGGGAGCCAGTTGGCACTGGACTCTGCCCCTCCTCAGCTGTCAGATTCCAACAGGAAGTGTATTTAAATTCTCTGTAAATGCTGGGAAGGGGAGGGTTGGGGTTATGAAGATACAGGCTACTGTGTTTTAACCAATGGCAGAGGGGTGCCTGGAGGAAACAAAGTCACTGTTTCTTTTTTGAAATAAAACTAAAACTTGAAAATTTTTGTTCAGTGAAAATGGGGTATAATTTCAATGTCCCTAGCCACAAGGAACCAATTCTACTGAGAAATGAACAGTGGGGACTCAAAATTTTGCACATATGTGGAGGAAGGGGCAACTTGCTTTCTGTTAATTGGCAAATGTTCCCGGGGGGCTTCGTTTATGTTTGGGGGTATCATGTTGTAGGTGACCATGTGGACCAGAGTCTCTGCTGAGGTTATAAAGTTCAGAAAAGAGGGTTGATAAAGTCTTGACTTGTGATTAGCATCTCTCAGGTAATTATCTTAATAAAGTCCACTGGAACTAAAAAAAGAAATTTTAACATGTTAAGAAATAATACCACTTGTATCCAAATATATTGTAAAACTATTTATATTAATATTATGTGTCCAGAGTCTACATTTTTATAAATGCATTTTTGTTAAACAACTTTAATAAATTTCTGAAGAACTGTATTCAAATAAGGGTAAGATGAAGACTTAGTTAATCACTAATCCTCAAGATCATGTATAGCTATATTTTCTTAATTCTAAACCTATACTTTTTCACATACTTTTAGAAAACAAACCAACAAGGTTTATCAGTCTTTTTCATGTTTACTTTTTAACAACTATAACTATGTATTCTCATTTGTATAAGTTCTGCCCTTTATTTTTGCTTCAATAAAGACATCTTTCCCCTCCATTATTATATTAACATTGGAAATTCAGTAAAAAAATATGTGACTCTCAATATGCTTTCCTGGAAATTCAATGATTAAAAAGCAAAAGATCTTGCTCTGTCCCAGTAGCTCAGTTAGAGCGTCATCCAAATACCCCAGGAATGCAGGCTCCACCCCCTTCAAAGAACATACAATAATCAACCAATGACTGCATAAATAGTGGAATAACAAATCAATATTTCTCTCTTACACACACTCTTTCTCTTTCTCCCTTCCTCTCTCTAAATTCAATAAATAAATAAAACATTTTAATATGTTTATTGATTTCAGAGAGGAAGAGAGGAAAGATAGAAATATCAATGATGAGAGAGAATCATTGGTCAGCTACTCCTGCACACCTCCACTGGGGATTGAGTCCTCAACCCAGGCATGTGCCCTGACAGGGAATCTAACCGTAACCTCCTGGTTCATAGGTTGATGCTCAACCACTGAGCCACCCTGACTGGGGTAAATATTTTTTTTTTTTTAAGGCAAAAGGTCTTACAATTTACTATGAATCTAATCATAAGCTCACAATTATTTGAAAAATGTAAAAACCAGTAACAGGTTTCCTTTCTATTTTTATGATTGCATGGAAAACTACAGTTTAAACTTAAAATTTTTAATAGAGCAATACAAAAGTTTTAATAGATAAGTGAATACCTTTTACCTTTGGGCACATGCAACACACATAAAGGATCATCGCTGACCATGTAAGGTACAGCTGCAAAGCAAGCAACAAAGAGTAGTAGTTGTGCAACTGGACATGCACCAGGCTGTCCCAGTTGAAAAATTCTAAATCCTGGCTAGCCATTAGAATCACCTAAGAAAATTTTTTAAAAATTACCAGCGTCTGGTCCCACCCCAGGCCAACTAAATCACCATCTCTGGGGATCAGGCTGGCTTCCAGTGTTTTTTTTTAAAGCCTCACAGAGTGAGTGTAATGTGCAATGAAAGTTTGAAAAACACTGCCCCCGAAAACCCCTTCACCTCTTCCATTCTTTGTTTCTACCCCAGACTAAAGCGACTGTGTTAACAGTTGAGAACAATCAATTTAAAGGTAAAAACTCAAATCAGATGTTTGCTATCAATGACAACTTTCCTGATCCCCAACTCAGCACCAAGTCAGGCAATCCAGTTTCCTTCCAGGTACCCAGTGCTTCCTCCTGTCGCAGCACAACCATCAGCTTTGAGATGTCCACAAGCCTGTCTTTCTCACAGACTCTAAGCTAAAGGGACTATAGAGTTTACCAACCAAACCCAGACCCTTTTGGAAGTGAAAGAGGGAGCTTTTCATAAGCTTTTATACCCCTATCGATATAGTCGCCTTACTCTAAGCTTCTTAAGTGCCCTGTCTTATTCTCCTTTGATTCCTCAATGCCTACAACAGTGTTCAGTTCACAGGAGGTGAGCGAAGCATTTGTCCTGAATGACTGAATAAAGGGAAGCACACATTTGGGAGCGGATGATAAATTACTCGAGATACACTGCAATAGAGATATCTCTCTGCTCAAGAGAAAATGACTCCTGGCGTCTAAAAGCAGCTTCAGCACAGCACAGATTCTCATTTCACAGGGTGAATGAAGGAAAGGCACTACTTGTCCTGTACAACATAACATATTGAAGCATTGGGCACATCCCCGGTAGGGGGTGTGCAAGAGACAGCTGATCGATGTTTCTCTCTCATCGATGTTTCTAACTCTCTATCCCTCTCTCTTCCTCTCTGTAAAAAAAATCAATAAAAATATATTTTTAAAAAATGTGAAGCATAATATGACTTGCTCAACGTCATTCTCCATCTTCTTTCCACTGATTTTTAGAGAGAGTGGAAGAAAGAAGGAGAGACAGAGAGAGAAACATGGAAGTGCGAGAGTCATTTTTGGTTGCCTCCTGCAGGGGCCCAACTAGGGTGGGGATTAAGCCTGCAACCGAGATATGTGCCCTTGACCAGAATGGAACATGGGACCCTTCAGTCCACAAGCCAATGCTCTATCCACTGAGCCAAATCAGGGTAATTCTCTATTTTTTTTAATAAAACATATATATCTGTGTGTATATAAATATATGCACACATATGTATATATACATATATACATATATATGCATATATATGTATGCAATGTTATGTCAAAATAAACAAGTCTAGAATGTGAAAAATAAACTGTTTTATTAAATTACAGAATACTTGAAACCATTTTGTAGATATGAATTATTAACTCAGGAAAAAACCCATACCACTTCCAAGTAACTCTGGTCATTTATAGAGCAATTTTTCTCAACTTAGAAGCCTTCCTCCAATTCTCTAAGCTTTAGTGTTAGGCAAAGGCTGGCAGACGTGACTTAAACACATCCATCATAACTGCACTTTCTTTTATAAAAGGTGTAAATATTTTGCTTTTGGAAAACTGTCTTAAAATAGCTGACCCTTAAGTAAAGCACTTAAACCATAAATTGATTGTACTTAAAATGTGTCCTAGCCATATTTAAAATAAAATTCCATCTTTTGTACAAGTCCAAATAAATGCAATGCTTCTTCTGCCGAAACCAGTTTGGCTCAATGGATAGAGCATCGGCCTGCGTACTGAAAGGTCCCGGGTTTGATTCCTGTCAAGGGCATGTGGTTGCGGGCACATCCCTAGTAGGGGGTGTGCAAGAGGCAGCTGATAGATGATTCTCTCTCATTGATGTTTCTAACTCTCTATCCCTCTCTCTTCCTCTCTGTAAAAAATAAATAAATAAATAAATAAATAAATAAATAAATAAAATATATTTTAAAAAAAACAAAAACCAATGCTTCTAAGTGCACTAATAACACAAAGATTGGGTCAAACGGGCAAACTACTACTACTAACAGCAGCGAATATGGAGCCTGTACTATGCCAAGCACAGCCAGAAGCACTTGACAGACAGTAACTCCTTTCATTCACACAGCCATGCTATCAGGGAGGTACTATTATTTCACTGATTTTTACAGACTAGCCAATTAAGTAACTTGCCCAAGGTTACAGCCAGGTCTGGGGCTGGAATTTAAGTCCAGTCATTCTGCTGCCAAACCTGCTCCTTCCAGCAACATGTACTGCTGCCTCTTAATAGACACAGTTTATAGTGCTGTAAATGGAAATGATCCTTTAAGAAAGCAGTCTGGCAACAGGTCAGGAGCCATGAAAATGTTCTTCTTGCTGCTATATCTGGGTATCTATCATATACAGTATGCTGCCATAGATTCCCCACAACTTTGTTTAAACAAAAAAGAAAAAGTGGAACCGCTGAAGTGCCTAATAGGGATATGGTTACACCAAGCATACTCATGCTTATGACAACAAGAGTAATGGCTATGAAGACTGCAACAACAACAAAAAACAAACAAACAAAAAAAGTTGATACCAAATACTGACTTTTTAAAAAGCAAATATAATGCTATGATTACAATTATGTAAGAAAAGGCTAAAGGATATAAATATCTAAATGCTGAAATACTTGCCTTCAATGTATTTGTATTTTCCCACTTTCTGCTATTCAGATGTTTTTAAATAGAATAAATATTAATTTTGTAAGAAAGCAATGTATACACTTAAAATGCATTATAAAACCATACACTAATATTCAAGTACATGTGCACTTCAGAAAATTAATTCATCATAGACAGGCCAATTGGGAGTGGGCGGAACCATGACAGTTTGCTCTTTGTCACACAAATGCAAGCTTCCTATTTGGGTAATAGAGCATGTCTTTATTAAGCAAGACTTCTATTTATTCTACTAAATAGACACAATTGGTATATACTCCAAAAACCAAAAGAAGGGGTCCTCGCCATCCATGCTAGTAAAAAATAGTAACATTTTTCATCTGGATAAAGGCTGAGAACTATGTGACAATCAACAAGTCACTTGACCTCCACGCTTCGGTTTCTTCATCCTAAAAGTAAAAATACAATCCAACATCTAGAGGGAAATGGACGAAAGAAGACAATACTATCTGGAGAGAAACGGAAGTTAACAGTGACCTCCAAAAAACATCTTACACTTTAATATGAGTATGGAAAAGCCCAGATAAGCCATCTCAAAAACTCAAACTCTCTGCACACACCCACAAGGCCTTAATCCTTTCATGCCCACTGACAACTGTAAACATAAGTACCTACACCAGTTCACAGCTATTATAGAACACAATTATCATTGCAATGCTTTTTTATCTCTCTGCACGCCTTTGCAAAGAGCTCACAGAAACAGCATCTTTTCTCTCTAATTGGGAGCTCTAGGCACCAAGTCCAATTCACAGAGCATGCACAGCTGGACATGGATTCTGGGTCCTACCCCAGATCTGGCGCCTGTTTAAAAAGGCCCTTTTCAAGCCCTTAGGGCACAATTCTCCTCCGCACTCTGCTGTCAGGGCTTTCACGTTAGTGAAGCGGGATAAAAGGGAGCTTCTCGGAGTGTTGTGTTTGTTGCTCAGACACCGGAGGCTGTGTGTTGCCGTGAAGTCGGTAGGTATACTAGGGTCGCAAGGTCAGACGGGAAACGGCACGGAAACTTGGGGTGGTCCCAGCGCCCCCATCGCACCCACAGGGCATGCACTGAGGCGCTCGGGGCTGAGCGGGAGGGAGCGGAGAGTGCGCGCGGGGCGGGCGCGGGGTGGAGCGCGCGCTCCAAGCTCCGTGTCTGGGGCGCGGGCCGACGCGGGCCCTCCCCGAGGCCGAGCGCTGCGCGGGGCCCACGCCCCCAGGCTCCGATCGGCCCCCCTCGGCCGCTGGGCAGCCCGGCTCACCGGCTCCGGGGCGCTCCATGGGGCCGGCGCTCGTGGGTCTAGCGTCCCTGCAGCCGGCCGCCGGGCGCAGCGGCCCGGGGCGGGGCGGGGCTCCGGGGGACGGGGCGCGGGGCCGGGGGCGGCCGGGGGCGGTCTGAGCTCGGGCCGCGGCGAGCCTGCCTGCGTGGGCCCCGAGCCCCGCGAGCCGCAGGCCCCGCAGGAGATGCATGCCGGCGCCGGCGCCCGGAAGGAGCGGAAGGGGCCCCCCCGACGCACCCGCGGTATCCGGGTTCGGGTGCGCGGGTTGGGAGAGGCTGGGCCTCGGCTCGGGCACCCCCCTCTTCACCCTCCCCTCTCCCGGAGCAGCCCGGCCGGCCCCCTGCAGCCCTGCGCTGCCCTCAGCCCTTTCCCGCGGCCCGGCCTTTCCCGTCCCACGCCTGGAGGGGTGACATCGGGAGACCCGGCTGAAAGCATTTCCTGGCCTAGGGGTCTCCTGAGGATCCCTGTGTTTAGTTTTGCAAAGAGCTTCCAAAACACAGATCTCTGATCACAAACTATTGGGGAAGAGCAAGCTGTATAGGAACCGATGCCTTGACCCTCTGTCGTGTCCGATATTTTATTTTGCCTTTTTTTTTTTTTTTTTAAAGCCAAGTTGTGCAAAGTATCTAATTTTTTAACAGTGGTTTATGCCTACAGAGTAAATGGGAACTGGCCACACGGGTTATTGCAGGTTAGAGCGCTGGTGTGAGTAAAATGGAAGATAATTGTTTGAAAATTATTTTGACCTTCGTACAGAATTTTGAGTTTTTCTTTTAAGTGCAATGAAACCATGCACTGAGAAAATTAGGTACATCTCTCAACAAATTCACCTAGCGTTTTTTCAAATAACATTAGGCTTATTTTGAATGTATCCTAAAATGGAAGCAACGACCTCAGTTCAACAGATCATACAAATTAAGTCATAAAGCTTGTTATTCTCGTATTAAAAATAATTCTAGCAAGTTGAGTATTGGGTTTGCACACCTAAAGCAATTATGGGCTGATTAGAAAGATACATACCATAGGTTCCTGTCCCAATTATACCCCAGCTGTCAAGACTTAGTGGGACAAACGCAGATGACTAGGAGTCAGCAATAACAGCCTATCCCCTGGTACTTCAATGTCTAGACAGCTGAGCCGAACCGGAACACATGACACACAGACAGAATTAGTGTGCAATCACACAGGGTTTAGTTACCTATTCCTAGTGGGTCCTAGGCTCCAGCAAAGGCCACCCGGGGATGCACACTGAAGGACAGATGACAAAAACAGAGACAGGCAGGCGGCCAGAGCTGGTTCAGGCTCACACAGCAGAGCACTCAGGGGCTTGTCTCTCGGAGCAATTGGAGTCCTCCTCTTATCGGGCAGGAGTCCACAACTGAAGATGGTCCTGGGGTTATATAGACCGCCTTAAACAAGTTGTGTCCTTATCAGTGTGGGCCAGACAGTGTGCCTTATGCTGGGAGCAGGGCGTTTACACTTTAAGGGCTCAGAACTTTTACATCAAGATAATGGGGTGTTCATTAATTTTGGAACTTACAGAATATTGGGGGTTTCCACACAGCAAACATTTCACACAATCATTATTTCATACATTAGAGGGGTTACATTATTATAACATTTCCTCTGATATTTAATGCCTGAGCTCCCTCCTGAGGTTGAGCAGGTGAATAAGACAGGTCTTTTTCTTAAGTTGGTCACCTACCCAATAGAGAAAGAAGCATAAGTAACTGCAATAAGTAATAAACTAAAAAGTAATCCATGCTAATATTTAAGAGGATCAGAATATGCTATCCCAAAATATGCTACTTCTGGGGTTCCCAACAGTGCCTGACATCACTACTTAATCATCCCAGGCTGCCCTTGGCCCCAGTCCTGGCCTCACTGAGCTCTCCTGGTCCAGTCTCCTTTCCAGGAGCTCCTCTGTCCTCTTCAGACATCAGCTGACTGGTGGTTTACCCAGCCATGGTGGGTCCTCTTAGTCCTCAGTGACAGTCTCTTGCAGATTAGAAGACATTCCTCCTCCGTGAATTACATTGTGTTTTAAGGGATAGGGCAAGGGTGGGTGATGTCACAGATTATTCGGACTTCTGAGAGCAATAAAATTCATTGGGATAGCATGTTCCTTTACGCACAACAGCACTTCTTCTCCCCAAAAGACAATATACACTGCCAAGGTAACTGGATTGAAAGTTTTAAAAAAGAAAATTCAACTGAGGACATTTTAAGGATCTTATTGAAAGGAGCTCCAAGGAACTGAACAAAATGAAAGACTTTCAAGGGCAGTAGGAAGCAGGAGCAAAGAAGTTATGCTAGGCAAAAAAGCAGATTGGTTATGGCAAGGTCATTTTTCTCTAGGAGATGGTGGGGGTCTACCAGGTAGATTGACTGGCTTAAGAGTCCATGTCTGGGAGCAAGTTCATTGTGGACCTGTTGTCTTATTTTTAGCAGAAGGGCTCGGGTTCATACTACCACAATGCTTCAAATCCAATATCCCTTACCTTGACCTTCAGGGCCTGTTGCTAAATTGGCTCATTCATTCTGCCACACTTCATTTTCTATGGAGAGTTCTCTCAAGTCCCACATTTCTCGCTTGTGATGGGTTCTGTCCTCATGCATTTCTACCAAAGAGCTGATGCTTGTTCTAGGAAGTGCCAGTGACAAAGCTAAAACAATTTAGTAAAAAGTTTATTGAACTGCATCCAGCACTGTCACTGGTAAACTTAAGGAGGGGTGGTGAAGGATTAAAGAAAACAGATAAGAGAATATAGCTGGGGCTAGGAGGGACACTGTTGTTAGACGGAGAGACAGTGCCACAGCCCGTAAGCTGTGTTTTATAGTCAGAGCCCATGGGGCAAAGCAAGGGTGTGGCCAAGATGTTTATAATGTCCTCCTGAGTTTTGAATCTATTTACTTACATGTACCTGAGAACTCTATCAAGCTTTGTTTTCGCAGTACTTGCTGCACCTCCCACAGCCCACATCACTCAGCCACCTGGGACCACAGGTTCAAGTGTACAAGCATAGCCTTTGTCTATAATTGTGCTGGGAGGGCTTTGCCCTCCAAGCAGGATCTGCATGTGGCTTTGCCAGGAGAGGACCGTGCCTTCTCATTACTCAGAGGCTTGAAACTGCCCAAATGCTGTAGCTGATCTCCACAGTTTGTGTTCTTTGTTCAAGGAAAAACAGTCCATGGATTGGGGAAGTACAGAGTTTCAGAAGCAGTGGAGAATGCTTCCTGATGAATTTTGGGCAAGAAGGAGTTTTATAGAACTTTAGAAGAGACAACAGTAACAGGACATGATTTGCTGGAAGTCAAGTATTTCCATATAAGGTCCTATTTTCTAGGATAAGGTAAATTCTCTAAAACTGAGTTGGAGGATTGTGATTGGTGTTAGGTTTCCTTGAGGCATTTCCTATAAGTGCAAGCTGACTTAGCTTTAGATTTGTGACTTGGGCTAGGCCACTAGAGTGGCCGCCACTTTGATAAATGAATTAACTTTATCAAAGGTTCTTTGGTCCTCCCATTGAACTACAGCTGTAACTGGTAATTAAGGAAGATGAAGTCATACAGTTCTATTTGACAAGGTCAAATATCGGTACAAAGCCAAGCCGGACCCTTGATGACTCAAGGTGACTCAGGATGTTATAAATTTCTAACACAATTCTCAGACTGGTTTGTCTGCTGCCATTTTACCAAACCTTTATAATACACCTTGGATTTCAACTTGGCATTAGAAAACCTCCAGAGATGCCAAAACCAGTTTGGCTCAATGGAAAGAGCGTCGGCCTGCGGACTGAAAGGTCCCAGGTTTGATTCTAGTCAAGGGCATGTACCTTGGTTGCGGGCACATACCCAGTAGGGGGTGTGCAAGAGGCAGCTGATAGGAGATTCTCATCGACGTTTCTAACTCTCTATCTCTCTCTCTTCCTCTCTGTAAAAAAAATCAATAAAATATATTAAAAGAAGGAGAAGAAAAAGAAGAAGAAGAAGGAGAAGGAGAAGGAGAAGGAGAAGGAGAAGGAGAAGGAGAAGGAGAAGGAGAAGGAGAAGGAGAAGGAGAAGAAGGAGAAGGAGAAGAAGAAGAAGAAGAAGAAGAAGAAGAAGAAGAAGAAGAAGAAGAAGAAAAAAGAAAACCTCCAGAGAGTTTGACCTTAACTTGTGGGTTTCACTTAATGCTCCTAGTGGCAAATAGCTTTGATTCTGATTGTTTCCAATGTAACAATAAAAGAAAACGGTTGTTTACCTGTCTAGATTTTCCTCTTGGTTCTAAGATTTGTGCTTTACCCACCCATTTAGCTCCTTATTAAAAAAGTCCTTTATTTGATTTTCAATAGCATGGATGGACCTGCAAAGCATTATACTAAGCGAAATAAGTCAGAGAAAGATAAATATCACATGATCTCACCCATTTGTGGAATATAATGAACAACATAAACTGATGAACAAAAACAGATCCAGAGACAGAGAAGCATTGATCAGACCGTCAAAACTCAGAAGAAAGGAAGGGGAGGGGAGGAGGGAAGAGGGAGAGATCAACCAAAGGATTTGTATTCATGCATATGAGCATATCAATGGACACAAACACTAGGGGGATGAGACTAGTGGGAGGTACTGGGGGAATAAGGACACATATGTAATACTTTAATCAATAAAGAAAAGAAAAGTACTTTAGTTGAAATGGTTTTTTGTTTTGTTTTTTTTTTTTGGTTTTTTTTTTTATTGCCCTTGCTTTTCTTAATTCCTTGGTGTTGGCAGTGGGAGAAAAATGCAGGGAAGTGCAGAAGTGGGCTCCCTATATCTGTGTGTTTATGTTCCTCTGAAGGTCTCAACCCCAGGTTTATCCTTAGGTACAACATGTGTCCTCACTCACCTTTCTTTCCCCTCCATGGAGTTTTCTGTGGCCATCTGAATTCCCACAGCAGGCATCCACAAAAAGTATTGCCTTCTTTTCCTTCCCTAAGGACTTGAGAGACTTTCACCACATATATGGTGCAGGAT